AAATATATGATAATGTAATAATGTGAAAAAATGTTTGTATAATATTTTCTTACCTTTACTAATACGGGGCCACGTGACTCAATAGCGTACCGATTCTCGGGTAACAACGCTTTTGTTTCAGCTGATATGTGAATTTTCCCCGGCTACCAAAAAAAAAAGAAAAAAAGTCATAATAAATCAATAACAAATGAAAAAGCGCAAACATCGCTATTTATGATGATAAATTGTTAAAGGAATTTATTCTTGAAATATCTTTGACTAGTGTAGTTTGCATTCGAGACTGACCTGACTAGTAGTTTGCATTCGAGATGCTGTATTTACAGTATCTCCGAAAAAACAATATCTTGGAACTTTAATCCCAACCACACCGGCAACAGCTGGTCCAGAATGTATTCCTGCGATAAAGAACATTTCACTTCGTACGTTGCATTGTCAAACGATTTACTATATATTGCTATTTGGTCCTTACCTATTCGAATTTGTATGTCAATTCCAGATGACAAGATCATAGAACGAACTTGAGAAATTAGTTGTAGGGACACGTCAGCTATATTAATTGCATGGCTGTCCGTTCGATCTGGAGCTCCACTAGCCGCCATATATACTCGGCCGACGGTTTCCACCTGTCAACCAATAGAATTGGCAAGTAAAATGTTGAAAAACTTTGATCGGCTAACGCTTTAATATAAAATTCGTAAACGAAGACCTTGTATACGTTAAACTTGTCCATTAGCGAATCGAAGCAGGAATAAACAGCATTCATGGAGGAAACAATGTCCATCGCACCCTCGATGGTCGAATAGTTGAAATCACAGAGTTCACAAAATAATACTGATATCGATTCGAAGGACTGGAAAAATAAGATACGACTGAGTTTTATCGTGAAGGAGTATTATAGGTTATCATGGCTAATTAAATCATGATTTATTCCACGTTTAGTATCTAAACAAAAATAAAAAGTCCAGGGTAGAAATATATCGAAGTAAGGAATTGTGCATAAAGTATGCTTAAAACTTTGCCTATATTTTATCTTTATAAATAAAGATAAAGATGAGTGCATTAGCGTGGAAGGATTACGCAGAAAATGCTTTGACATGGAAAATTCTCTCGTTTTCATATTTTATTTCGTAATGAATAAGTTGCGGTAACATACTTCGCAGGTACTGAGTGGACTTGCTCCAGCTCTCAGCCTATCGGCGACGCTTTGAGGTATCATAGAATACAAAAGCTCATCGCTCTTATTTTTCCACCGATCCAACAGGTCATAACTCTGCTCCAACTCCTCGGAGCGCTGTTCTGCTTTTTCAAACATCATTTCGAGCCTGATCGACAACAAAAAAAAAAAAAAAAAAAAAAGAAAAGAAGTAAAATAAGAAAATTAAGAAGAAAAAGAAAGAAGACCATAACTAATAGTATTAGAAGAGCGTAGTTAATAATTTATCGAGTGTATAATAGAAAAGGAGCGATAATTCATGATTCGAAATACCTTCCACAATGATGCCACCCGGCGAGCACCAATTCCCGACCCAATCCATGTGGGTTCAAATCGTTCAGATAAATACCCATGCTGAGCAATTCGTCAAGACTATTGATCCTGCGATGATACAAATTACATATAGATTATAGATTTATATAGACTTATTAAATCAGTATTGTAAGATGTCCTTGTGCGATCGAAGAAAATAAATAGAATGTGTAGCGCATTATGTATCGTCATTTCTCAGTCGAAATAATAATTTGCGATGACAAAATATTGATTAGCAAATACTGTAGACTAAAAAATTGTTTTCTCATAGAACTTTTTATCGTGTGTAAACAATTTGTTACTGCGTAGGAGAGAGAGAGAGAGAGAGAGAGAGAGAGAGAGAGAGAGAGAGAGAGTAAACAACAGAGTGTATTATATACAAGATTCTTTTATTTAACAATTTATTGATTTATTTGAAATATTTCATACTCATTATATTTAAATTTAAAATACTTTTAACTTCTCATCTTATCTACAATTAATCGTGTAAGTGTATTATGTGTAATAGTATATAAATAAGAATGATATATAAAAAAAAAATAAAAATACCAATAAACATATGTAATAGATATAACGTTTTTTGTGAGCTAAATCTTATGGTAAAAAATTCATTTTCCCCATTTTTCTTTAGTTTAATTGATGCTTTTTGATTACTTGAACATTCAATTTAAATTTATTCGCTTAGTAATTTTTTTTTTGAAAGATTTTATTCGATTTAAATGACAAAGTTTTCGAATTAAAATATTAATACTTAAGTTTCAATAAAAAAACCTTATATATATTAATAAACATAAATTGTGAAAATTTTGAATATTCTCAATCAAGTTAAGATTTTCGATATGGAATATTTTATGAATGAATGTTAAAAACTTACAGAGGGCTACAAAGAAAAATTATAGCTTTAATATCATCGATGTATCTCATCTGTCCTTTAAGTAAAATATTTCTTGCTCCTTGACTACCTTGGCGATCTAATTTTGAACTCGTTTGAACCTCAGTTTGCTTAACATCGCTACTTTTCGTTGATCTGATCAGTTCCAGTTCGAACATTACAGAGTGCAAGTTCATGATCTACAATTTAATAAATATAAACATTCTCATATAAAGCAAAAGGAATGAAGTAATTTTCATTTATAGAATTTAAATTTGATATCCCATACGTTTCCTGAAGTAAATGAAATACCCTTGGGCCTACGAAGCTTAAAAATCTCTGTAACATGTTTTTCTAAGATAGACGTGGAATTACCCCAGGCGTGAAATAACTTTTCGCCGACTCCTAAAATGCACATATCTTTATTCATCACGACACCAAACGGAAACAGTCGCAATAAAACTTTACAGGAGACAGGTGGAAGCTCTCGTCCAACAGGAGTCTTCATATTCGAGTGTTTCAACATCTATAAATAACGGTATGGAACCGAATTCAAAAGTACTACTCTACTTAGTCATTCGATTATCAATTTTAGAAAAAAAAGTTGTCGGTAAAAAATTATAATTTTTGTTTATGGAGAGGTAATAAATATTAAATGAAAATATAAAATCTATAAAATCTATAAAATCTATAAAAATCTATAAAATATTTAAATTACGTTGAAAATAAATACTCAAATATTTACGTATTTGCGATTATCAAAGTCGATGCGGAACTTGACCATTACACTCCTAGTACCAGGAATGTTATTCGAACTTTCAAGAACTCTAATATCTAATGTGGTCTCATAAAGTTCTTCGGCTATTTGAAAAAGTTGCCCTGAAATAACAATTTCTATAAAGTTTAGATTACACTCAAAAAGATATTTCTTGAGGTCAGCTCTATTTAAAAAGCACACTTTGCTAAAAAACTTTAAACTGACTTTTCAATAGCAATTTAGAATAAAGATTTGATGATGGAATAGAATGTTTGAAATTTTTTTTATAATTTTTATTTTTCTTCGGTTAAAAATGAAATAAGCTACGTATCTCTTACATAATTTATTTATTAATTTTTGCAAAAAAGAAAAAATTCAAGACATAAAATTAATAGATGTGCTAATACTAGCTTTTTTTTTATAGCTTTTTACATTAATATAAATAAAACTTCGATTAAGTCATTGATTTAAATTCTTCCAAAACATTGAAATCTTACCCATAAAGTAATGTGTAAAACCTTTTCGTGTACTTCTGTATACGAGTACTACTCCATGCGGATCTACATGAGTCAGATACATAGAAGGACTTAACATTTTCGGATAAGTGAATCGCATATGCATGTGAATGTTGTCTACACTTTGAAGAAAGTCGCAAAAATATCTACCAGTTGCTTTGATAGTATATCCATATCTATTAATAATAAAGGTATATAGTAAAGCATATGAATTTGTGTGTGCGTGTGTTGTGCGTGTGTTGTGCGTGTGTTGTGCGTGTGTTGTGTGTGTGTTGTGTGTGTGTTGTGTGTGTGTTGTGTGTGTGTTGTGTGTATTTAATGTAGTACAGTAAAATGTTTAAGATTCTATTTAATTATTATTTAGTTGATTTTGTTTGAAAGGTACTGAAGTATAACTGTACGCTATAAAAAATATTACAAAATTCTTCGGATATCTATAAATTTTACATGATAATAGATAGAAGTAATCCAACATAAAGGCATAAAGGCCAATTAATTCCGCTTTCACAAATTAATAAAAATTACCGTCTAAAAATATATAATCATAATTCTTACCCAAGATTGCTGAAAAATCGAACGAAGCATTTGCCAAAATACTGCATAACACTATCTACGGTCTCACATGTGTGCACAGCAAGTTCTGCAGCTAATTTTGTCATCAAATCGTCGGGATAGATTTGTCGAGTATTAAATACAGTATGTTTCGCACCAGCTTTTTCCAAAATATCCAACCACAAATCCTCTCCGTATTTCAGCTAAATAGCAACGATTAATATTACGTTAAATATTTCATTAATATGATGATTATAAGAATAAGTCTTTGAAAGATTCGTTGAATATTTGGAATTTTTTATAAATTGAAATTTCTGTATTCCGTTTTTAATACTTCATTTTATCATTGTCCTCTTAACCATCTATGTACTTTTCAATCTATTTGAAAGTAATATATTCATATTTATAAATATTATTATTTTAAATTTCTTATTTATATAGTACTTTTTAATAAAAAAAAAAAAATAGAAAAAAAAATGGTATATTAAACGATAAAATTGTATAAAATCATACATACATTGACATGCATATATTCAAATTTGTTTCTAATTAATCTGTTTGCCATGATTAATCTTTATTATTGAAATAGTATTTTGTATGTTTAATTGGATTTTAAATAAAACGATTATATAATTTTTATATAAAAAATTAAAATATGAAGAGAATGCAGATTATAAAAAACTGACAGAATTTTTCGTAATTCTTTTTATTAGAGATAATAATATATTGAAATGAGATTATAAAAATTACTTTAATAACTATATTATTGCAAATTGTGAAAATGAATGATATTTTTTAAAAATATGTTATTTCATTGAATATTTGAACTTATATGATATTGTTAAAAAAATTTTTCAACTGTAATCTCATTATGTATAATTAATGGGGATAGCTTGAGAAAAATTAAGAGACTATTTGAAATTAATATACTAGTAGTTTGATTTTTAAATAATACTTTCAAAATAAATATAAACAAAGTCCCAATTAATGCAAATCACTATTATATTTGAGAAATAATCTTGATACAGCTTTTATACATATAATATTTAATATTAATTATTAATGCGTATTATCACTGAAATGAAATATTCATATTTATTCGAGAGAGAACTAAATTTATTAATGTATTGAAATTCCTTAATCATTAAAATTGTTGATATGGTTGAGAATGTTCATTTTTATTAGTAATAAATGTACATGTATGTTTCTATCTATACAAATGTATTCAAATATTAAAAAATAAATATCTATTAACATAATTGATTTATATTAATTAATATGCTAATTAAATTCATGAATAAAATATAATATTTTAATTGAAATAATGGATACAAGGAATTGTCTGCAAAATTTTTACTTTATCCATTATGATGTTGAATTATTACATTACATTTGTTCAATTTATAGTATATATTAATAAATTTAAAACATTTCAATAAATTCGATAAGTCAAGTATATTTATTAATGTTTTGGTGACATAAAAGTAATCTGTATTGTCAAAAAGTGCACATTTGATACTTCTTACAACTGATGAAAGTTTATGGTGTAATTAAAATTATCATAATTTTAGAAACCGAAGTTGGAAACGAGTTTGAAAATAAATATATATATATATATATATCTATAATTCAAAACGTAAGATATTTATAAAAAATGTTATTATTACTATAATAAATACAAATAATGTTTCAAAATACATTTCTATATTTTTATATTTAAAAGTATTCAATTTCAAAACTTTTTATAAAATTTCTTAAATTTAAAATTCTTAAATGATATTTTTCATATAAAAAAATGAATGTTTTAAAATTGTAAATAAATTTTATTAAATTATTATTATTATATATTAAAATTTTTTATTATGTTTCATAATTTTTACAAATTATATAGCAAATGATCAATGATTAAATTTTATCTTTAGATATTTTAAACATTTTTTACTTATAAGTAATGCATTTTAATTATAAAATATATTATTTATAATAATTGGGTTCGATAAATAATAAACATAAAGAAATTCGGAATTATTGTTGAAATTATTATGTTTAGATTTACTTGGTTAAACACATTTAAATATTATACATATCCTAGCTGATTCCATAATATTATTTTTAATTTTTCCAAAATAAGTCTCTCCGATTGAAACTAATTGTGTAGACAATTTATATTCAAATAATTTATTTAAATGCAATTATGGGGGTAAGTTAGGATTCGAATTTAATATATAAAGATGTGACAGTGAATACAAAATGTTCAATAATTTATGCTAATGTACAAATAATGTCATTGTGCTATTTATTTCACAGTAACTCATTAAGAATATTTAATTTCAATATTAAGCCTGTAAAAATTCTATTGTTTGATCATTTAATTTTAATCATGTTCAGACTTATATTTTCTACTTCAAACATAATTTGTTGTATTTTTTGTTGTTAAACATTTTTGTTGTTTAAAATTATAAAATTGTCTTCAATAACAAAATTATAATTGATTAAAAAATTATATTATTTTATTGTCACAGTATTAAAAAATTATTTAGTAGTAAGTCCTAAATTATTGTGAATAATAGATTCTTAATAATAAATTTTATTATCATTGAAATTATGTTGGTAAGCTTTTATATAAATTTACTTCACATATTTATTTATAAATTAGAATGAATTTCAATTAAAATCATTATTTACGTCCAATTTTGTATCTAAAGTTTTATTAGTATATTATTAATATTTTTGAATTTACTTGATTTCGTTCGAAAAGATTCCATCGTAAATATATAGTGTATTTAATTGTATTCACTCATTGTTATAATGCATTAACGTTAATTAAGATTAATATAGAGTTTTTAAACATTTATGTTATATTAATGAATTTTTTTAGTTCTCTATGATTTAAGATTGTACGGTGACTATTATTAAGTATAAAAGATATGCATTACTGACCCAATCTTTTAAGTGCATAAATTATAATTTTTCCATGTAGATTATATTTATGTTAATACCATAGAATAAAAAAATAATGTTTACATGAACGAATAATATTAAAATTCGAACACAAATATGTTTATAATTTATACATATTCTTAAAAAGTAAAAATAAGGGATATTTTTTATTTAGTTTTATTCTGACTATATACGTAGTGTTTTTAAAAATTCAAAATTTTTTAGAAAAATATTAGAATAAGGAATTAAATAATGGCACGTTTGATGGACAATGTGTTATAAAGATGAACCAACTATATTACAAATTTAGTAGACATTCTTTTTGAAATTTCGGAACTTGTTTAACAATTTGTGAGAGCGATCTACTATGAATTTTAAGGGTCTTTTCATTTTTTTGAAAATTAAACATTTTTTTTTATTTGAATATTTTATGTAAATAACCTTATTATAATTAATGTATTTATATGTATAGGGAATGATCAAAGTGCCCGAGAGCAACAATAAAGAAAAAAAGGGTGAATTTTTTAAGTGAAATACATTTGATACAATGAAAGAAGATTCGTGTTGGAATGCGATAACTTCTTATAAGTTTTCTTACCTTCTCTCTCTTCGCTACTTTCCTACTACTCGTATTTCTAGCAAAGTAACAATATATAACGGAGGGTGCGAGTTCTCTTTTTCCGGTTGTCGGTCTTTTTCAATTGGGTATATTTTTCTGCTTTTTTTTTGGAAAATGATTGGAAAATGTACGAGTGTTTAAATGCCTTGTTATTCGTATATATATATATTATTTATCATGATCAAAGGATTTATACGTCAAGTTAATGGCTTATAAATATTGCTTATATTTTCGTTAGACTAGGAAAAGTTAGAATTAATTTCTTGATGTGTATAAATACAAAAGAAACGTGTGAATTTTATATCGTCATTTTGTCTTTATTAAAAGGCGATGAATTGTTAAGGCAATAGACGGAGAATTTATGAGATACAAATTGATTCAATAATAAATGAGATCGAATTTTTCGCTATTTGGATTTAATTTAAACGGCGATGGAGAATAGAAAAAATCTAAAAAATATATATACGGAAAATTTTCATATGAAAGTTAAGTTTTTTAAAGGTGACAGTTTTCGTTATTCTGTTTCAAAAGCTCGCTTATGCTAATTTTCATTATATATTATTTTCACTGTTTCTACGTTTCTAGATATTTCACGGATGAATTGAAGATTTAATTTTTCGCGTATATATTATGAGTAAATTACCTTTAAAACCATGTACAATAGTTTCTAATTTTATGTCTTGCATATCAATATTTAAACAAATTGGATAATGACAATTTTTAGTATATTTATGAATCACACAAACACATGGAACCTTGCTTTTTTAACATATAAGATGAATAGATATATATTATTCATCTTAAATTGCGAGATGGTTTAATGTTTTTAAAAATAATAAATAAATACTCGGTCAAATATACAAGATATATTTATAAATTGCTCGGATTTACGTTCTTCGAAAAATAAAAAAAAACAAACAAACAAACACAAAAACAAAAAACATAATGCATTTATCGCGCTTAATTAGTGCTCTAGGCAAGTAAGGACAAACCTGCACAAAGTGCTGTATACTCTCCAATAGCATCCCGTACATGATTACACCGTTTATTTTTTAATGATTGAAAAGTCCTTAAGGGAATACCGGACGACTGGACCAACCGACTCGGCGATACATCTACATCAATTGACGACGAATAATCGGAGGCTGGAAGCGTAGGTGCAAGAGGTTCGTAACATGACGTTTTTCTGGTTGCGGTACCGCGTCAACACAAGCAATACGCGCCACTTTGAAAAAAGGTCGCACTTAGCAATGAGCCCCGACGTCGTCCTCGGAGCGCACAACATTAACTCGTGCGTGCGTGCGTGCCAGCCGCCGGTGATATCGGCAGCAGCTCGAAAAGTGTCGTGACGCGCAGATCTGCGTGCGCACTCGCTGCTCTCATTTGGAATTGTATTCTACTTTTCACCCTTGGACATTGTCTCCGGAACCTGTCCAATTACCGCGATTTGCCCATGGAGAGCTAATGATATTCCGAATAGATAATGATTTGATGAGCTAGCAGTTGAGGGATTGCCTTTTCGGTTCTTTAATTAAATTGATTTCGTGACATCGGCTGCTTCCTTTGCTTACTTCTTTCATTTGAAAGAAATAGTTCAAAGTAGATGATTGGTTTGGCTTCTAAGCTTTATGAAATCAGTTATTACAGCGATTAATTAATTAATGTATTGATGGATAAGACAGGCGTATTTGTTTTCATACTTTATCGAGATTTTTTTTAAAAAGACTGTTCTATTAAAATGTTTGCATGAAAACTTGGAGAAAATGTTTGTGACATTTAACAATTGTTTATTACCTTGAATTATATTCTTTTTTACTGGGAGAAAATTATTTTATACAAAATTGTACTCTATTATAAACGTGTATATAATAATTCAAAATTTGCTTACATACATAATATAATACTACTTTCAACGTCATTAATACATATGTAATTAATATACAATAAAAAAACGTAATAATTATTTATTATTTATAAATCAACTTGGGCCATTAAAATGATTTAAAAAAATATAAAAGTAATTTAACGTGTATAAATTGGCTATCAACGTTAATAATAATGTAGTAGATTTTTAAATCGATGTGTATATTATTATAAATAGATATTATGTAAATGCTAATTTGAGAATATAATAAAATCTATAAAAGATTTAGTATATTCAATACGATACCTGTCTTCTATCAATCTATATATATATATATATATATATATATATATATATATATATACATACATACAATGTCAATCTTCTATGTACGCAAGCAATAGTGGATCGGTTAGTTTTATCTCGGACATTGAATTTAATAGTTGTCATTTTTGTACATCACGTTAATTTTAATTCTACATACTAATTCAAAATTATACTTTTGACTTGGTAAATCGTACGTAAAGCAGGTTATTATATAACTCGTAAAATGGAATTTACACATATATGATATCAGTTGTTATTATAATAATATATTATGGATATAACACGTATGATTTAATATAGTATTTAAATTTTTATTTATGATATATTAGAAAAAACTACTTACAATAGTAATGTCCGAGCAAACGAGACATTGAAGGATATTTTTGGAAAAATAGTAACATGTTCAAAAAAAAAAATATATATTTATATACATACATAAATTTATGATCGAAGCTGAGCTCATTTAAGTAATCATTATAAATAAAAAAGTTTTAAATTTATTATAAAAATTTAATTACATATTAATTGTTATTGCTATGTGAATATATATTGTAATGTAAATTAAAGTACTTGTTTAATTAACTAATTTATAATAATAATGTTTTGTTATATAATATTTTGTTCTATAATAATAATGATAATAATAATTTTTATAATAATTTTGTTTTTATAAAATAATGGTAATTATAAAACTTTTATTTACTGACGTTGTGAAAGATGAGTTATCATATATCTCCTACCTTATGATTTTAATGAAATCTACTCAGATTCAGAAACTCAGGAAAGAGTCATTTAAGCACTATTATTTTTACAATAAATATTTCGTTATGAATATACTTTAAATCGAATCCATTAGTTACATATTCTTAAATCAGATATTTTTATTGGTAATTATGTAATCTTTTTGTACAATTAATTTTTTAATTTACAGCTATAATTAATATTTAAACATCATATTTCGACGATTGTATTTTAATAATGAATAGTTTTAATGAATTAAAATATGGTTTAAATAGTAATCATAATTTTTGTTTTTTCTAATTGAAAGCATTTATTTATAATAGTATTAAATAAATATATAAATATATATATATATATATGTATGTATTTTCAATCTACGAAAATTAATAAATTATTTGAGATTGTAATTTACGCGATTCTGAAGCTATTGAAGAATATGAATGAAATAATATAATTTAAAATAATATTTAGAATTATTAATACAACGGTTATGACATGAAAGACGGCATAGCTATTTTCTTTTACGCTGAGGTTTGGTCTATTTTATATTCCGCGAATTAATTTTTCATCTTAATTGAATATTATGTTTAAAGCAGAAATAAAGTAGGAAATTGAAATGATACATAATCAAAAAGTATATTTATTTGATATAAAATTTTGTGCGTTATACTATTTGACTTAATGTTAAGCCACGGCAACTTATCTTTCATTCTAACTGTTCTGAAAAATATCTAAATTTAAATCGTAATTTAATATCTAATTCTTATCATGGATAAATGTATGTTTAGTTTTGACTTATGTAGTTAAGGCATTTTTGAAATAACAATGGAATTAAATTAATGAATAATTATTTATGTTAAATTGACATGCATACGCAAGGTAATTGTTTTAATAATTTTTTAAAATGAAAAAAATATTTCTGTATTTATTATTGAAATTAAAATGTCTAATGTAAAGGTCCCAAGGAGAAAATTACCCATAAAAACAAATCCTGAGAAACTGTCTGAAGGTAGTTAAGCCTTTTTACTTAATGCACAATGCAACGATCATTTTTGTGTCGACATTATAGTTTACTGATTATATATTAGCTATAAATTATTTTGAATGATTTGTATGTTAAATTGTAATATGCGCAAGATCGAAGTTTAAACAACAGATGTATTATCAAGGAAATATTTTATCTAGGTAGATTAAAGGTTCATCGGTGCAGTACTGTATTATTGTTCTACATTATGTACTAAGAATAATATAATTTAAACCACTTATTATAAAAAAAAAAAAAAAAAACACTTATTCAATTTAAATGAATAAAAATTAGAAACTAGACAACGTAAAAAAGACATTTAGGAATGAGTTCTCAGTATATTATCGGGTAAATTATAATTTACGATATTTTGATATATTTAATTAATTAGAATTATTTATATAAGGAAACGCGAGTTTCTAATAGAAACAACATAAATGTGCTGTTTATACAAAAATTTTATCAAAGCAATTATTTACCAGAAGAATTATTAGAAATACAGGTTTTCATAAATATATACAATATAGAACAATATAAAAGATATAGACAAAAGGTACCGTCTTATTAAAATGAATTATAATTAATTTGAACTGCTGTACGTCAAATTCATTTAAAAGGATATTCTTGCTAAATGTATTGAGCAATATTATAACTTTCATTTATAAGAATTGAATATAATGCATTTTTATGAGTTTATTAGACAATTTTAGATAAAAAGATCATTTTTGGGATTTCATACTATTGAAATTTCTTATTATATGAAAAACTTCATTTTATTTAAAAGTTATTGCTATTTAGCTTTGTTATGAAATATATAAAAAATCTTATCAATTTTATAAAAGATAATACAAAATCATAAGGTTAGAGATAAAAAATATGTTATTTTTATCGGAAGTAGGAACAAAAAAACCTTTCCGAACTTACAAAATTTAAAAATTTAATAATTAATTTATTGAAGCAGTATTTCATTAACAAGAATAATGAAAAAGCAAAACAAAATAACTCTATATAAATCAAAGTGTTTCCGAAAGTGTTTTCACTAAAATGAATTAATCTTTATATTATTTATCATTCATAATACAAAAATAATATAATATGAGTTCTAGAAACTTCTATCATATCAGTAATTGCATTTATTATTTTAATAATCATAATTGCTGTCGTGTAATTACCACTATATATAATATGGTAGGAATCGTTAAGTATGAATGTTGTATCAAGTAAATTTATCGACAGCATTTATTTAATTGCAGTTTAAAATTCCGCAATTGATTGAAACTCATAATTTTTGGAAGAGTAATTTCAACTGTAAATGTTCAATGCCAATTTCTTAATAAGTTGTCGAATATATTATTATAAATATTTGTAAAGATTTTTTAATGGATCTTAAAAGCGACAGCATTTAGAATTGAATATTACATTTTTTACCGTGAAAAAGAAGTTCGATGAGTTTATAATTTTCGAAAGATAGCGTGGAGGTTTATCGTTAACTTTGTTTTCATAAAAGTAAAGTTGATTTCCCAATGGATGCATAAAATTCTGTTTAAGAATTAAATGTCCTTAATATAAACGTCTAAAAGTTTTAACAGACTAATTTACCTATGACTCAGAATATACTATGAATAATAATTTCTTATTGGATACAGGAGATAAAATAGTAATAACAAGTGAAATTTTATTGCCACCGTATTATTTATGTATATATGCGTATGGTATTTAGTTTCTTATTCAGCTAAAAATAGAAAAACGAAAATACAAGGTGCGCCTTATATTAGTTATATTTGGAATGAGACGAATTTTGTTGCTCAAGAGGGTTAGTAAACGATTAAATTTACGAAAAAGAATGTGTATTGTAATTACATAAAGTAGGGCCGATTCTCCGATAATGAAATTTAATTATGTAGGGCGATAACGTTCATCGTTCAGTTTCATGATGACCATTTAGGTAGATATTTCTTCATCTTTTGTAAAGATTAGATTTATTGTTGTAAAATTTCTTTGTCCATTTTAACATATCAAATTGCAATTTCAAAATTTTACCAACCAGTCCTTTACAATACTTTTGAATGAACTAATTTCGTTATTTTCCTCATTAAGGACCTGTCTCATTCGATATTGACAAAAATAAACAGAATTAAGGAAAAAGTCCGAGGATCGAAAGCATTACAACTTTAAAACATTCAAGATTATATATTAATACGCTCACGGTATAGTTAATTGTTATACAATAGTTAATTGTTTTACAATGGTAGCGGGGCTAATAATTAGAAATTATATAAAGACAGTTGAGAAATGTGGATTTCCACA